GTATCATTCTAACGAAATGGAAATGGAAATAAAAACCAAATGAAATTCACATTCCCTTCGCGGGAAAAGGGAAAGTCTTTAATATAATATATTTATTTAAGTAAAGAAGAAATGAGCCAGAAACGATCAAAATTTAGATTTCATTGGTTGAGACAATTTTTCTGGAAAGTTGTGGAGAGATAAGGTGCAATTTATTATGTGGATTAAAAAGAATTGATTTTGTATTTCAAAAAAAGAAAAGGAAAAAGAATTGATTTTGATGTGAGACTCCTTCGAGATTTGGGATATCTTATTTCACGAGACACCCGGAAAAAGACCTTATGATGCGAAGGGGGACGTAGGTTTATTTTTGTTTTTTTTGTTTTTTTTTTGATCTCCTTGCGAAGAAGATGGATCACAGAGAAGAAAAAAGTGATATTGAGATTGAGGGTATGGTGAAAGGCGCCGACTTTGACCGCCGGGGATCAGGGTTCTCCGACGACATGGAGTTCACGGCGTTGGCGAGAGAGCCGTTGCTGTTTAAGAGCAGAAGCAACAGGACCTCTCAGATTGCCATTGTTGGTGCCAATAGCTGCCCCATTGAGAGCCTTGATTACGAGTAAGTAATTATTCTCAATTTATTTATTCAAATTCTTTTTCTTTCACTCAATTTTGTTATGATAATTGAAATTGCAAGTGATTGCATAAGATACATTCAATTCAATTGATTTCTTTTTTTTTTTTTGGGCTCAGGATTGTGGAGAATGATCTGTTTAAGCAAGACTGGAGGTCTAGGAAGAAGACCGAGATCTACCAGTATATTTTTCTGAAGTGGACACTTGCACTCCTTATTGGGTTAGGCACAGGGCTTGTTGGTTTCTTCAATAATCTTGCTGTTGAGAACATTGCTGGCCTCAAACTTCTGCTCACCAATAATCTCATGCTAGAGGACAAGTAAGTCTATCCCCATCCCTATCCCTACCTGTGTTTTTTTATAAATATACATACATATATATCCCTTCACAAGATTTGTGCTTTCCCCACGCCATTAAACTATTCTCTTAATCATACCATCATCAACTATGAGTATTTATGGAGTCCCATCAATCAATGTTAGGATACATTTTCATTAAGGCAAAACTATTTTCTTACTTAATTCTGTTGGCCAGTTTGCCTTTTTATGATTTCACATTGAAAACCTTCAATATCCTGCTTCTGGTAGTTTCACAGTCACTTATATTTACCTCCTCCCCTCCCAAAATACAGAAAAGCAGTCACCACATTGTTTAACTTTATTTTCAATTAAAATTTATAATAATCAGGGAATTTTCTTCTAGATGGTTATTCTTGTCCCACTTAGTCCTACCTTACCTCCTTCCATGACAATTGTAATGTTTGGAAGTAACCATCATGCTTATTCTAGTGCAGATATTTTCAGGCATTTGCATCATATGCTGGCTGCAACATGGCTTTGGCTATTGCTGCTGCAGCTCTTTGTGCATATATTGCCCCTGCAGCTGCAGGCTCTGGGATACCGGAGGTAAAAGCATATCTTAATGGAGTAGATGCCCATTCTATTCTGGCTCCAAGTACACTCTTTGTAAAGGTGAGCAGAAATTGACATGAATACTTCTTCTTTCTCTCACGCACACACTGTATTGATCCAAAGTTGGCAGATTTTTGGTTCCATATTTGGAGTTGCTGCTGGATTCGTTGTCGGCAAGGAAGGACCTATGGTGCATACTGGTGCATGCATAGCCTCTCTCCTTGGACAGGGTGGTTCTCGTCGGTACCATTTGACTTGGAGATGGCTAAGACACTTCAAAAATGACAGGGACCGTCGGGATTTAATTACCTGTGGTGCTGCTGCCGGTGTGGCAGCTGCCTTCCGTGCCCCAGTAGGTGGAGTCCTCTTTGCCCTTGAAGAAGCAGCTTCCTGGTAGTTCCCTCCTCCCTGCCAACCCTTCTTTACTTTATTCCCCTAACTTTCTCCATTGGTCTAGCTCATTGCTTGGAGTAGAATTGAAATCAAGAAGAGAACTACTCGGAACTGTCACATGACTTTCAATATTAATGTTGCCCTCTCATCTTGGCCTAAATCTGATCCTTATCATGTACATGCCAAATATAAGAAGTGCAGAGTTGAGTGGAATTAGGAAATACTGTGCAGTCGTGTACACAATTTAACTGATTAGACTGCTATCTAGGACCACTAAATTTGTTGGATAACTAGTTGATGTGACATGTTGGCATAAAATTTAGAGAAAAAATCTTTAGAACTGGAAATGTGGTTGGAATTCTTTTACAACATAGACTATCGTGCAGATGGATATTTCAAGATTTATGTCAATTACTGCCTTCTTTCCAGCAGACATAAGGCTCTTTTATATTTGTTGTAAGTTGTAACTTGAGGCAAATTTCTTATATTTTTATAAAATTGCTTAGGTGGCGGAGCGCCCTTCTTTGGAGGACCTTTTTCACAACAGCTGTTGTGGCAATGGTGTTGAGAACTTTAATACAAATTTGCCGGACTGGAAAATGTGGTCTATTTGGGCAAGGAGGCTTGATAATGTTTGATGTCAATTCAGCAAATCCCACTTACGGTGCTCCAGATCTACTGGCAATTGTATTCCTTGGGATTGTTGGAGGAGTTCTTGGAAGCTTTTACAATTATCTCGTGGGCATGGTGCTTCGTTCTTACAGCATCATCAATGAGTATGCCCTGAAATTAACTTTTCTCCATTTTATTTGTTTTCCTTTCATGCATAAGCATAGAAATACTAATTTTCATAAATGTGTTTATGAGCAACTAACTTGCATGAACAATAGTCTCCATGACTTTGAAAGATACATGTGAGGTTTGCTCTTGCATGAATTCATTGCTTGTGATTTCTGTAGGATTCAAATAATATAGCACTTTATTTATGAGTGCTAATTGCTAAACTGTACTCATACCTGATACCCATTGTGGATTTGCTGTTGCTAATGGTTGACAGTTAATTTCAGGAAAGGTCCAAGGTTTAAAATCCTGCTGGTCATCACAGTTTCGCTTCTCACCTCGTGTTGCTCATATGGTCTGCCTTGGCTTTCACAATGCATTCCTTGTCCTGCAAACCTAGAAGACCAATGCCCCACCGTAGGCCGCTCTGGAAACTATAAGAATTTTCAGTGTCCACCAAACCATTACAATGACCTTGCTTCCCTCTTCCTAAACACCAATGATGATGCCATCCGCAACTTACTAAACTCTCGCACTTCAACAGAATTTCATCTCTCTACTCTTTTTGTTTTCTTTACCGCAATTTACTGCCTTGGCATTATAACTTATGGCATTGCCATTCCTTCTGGACTCTTCATCCCCGTAATACTTGCTGGATCCTCTTATGGAAGGCTTATTGGGACCCTCCTTGTTCCTGTTTCTGATCTTGATGTGGGTCGGTTTGCCCTCCTTGGAGCTGCTTCTTTCCTGGGAGGGACGATGAGAATGACGGTTTCTCTTTGCATCATACTTCTTGAACTTACTAATGACCTGTTGTTATTGCCACTGGTGATGCTAGTTCTCCTTATTTCAAAAACAGTGGCTGATTGTTTCAATAATGGTGTGTATGATCAGATTGTGAGAATGAAGGGATTGCCTTATTTGGAAGCTCATGCTGAACCATACATGAGTAACTTGGTTGCAAGTGATGTTGTTTCAGGACCGCTAGTTACATTTTCAGGGGTTGAAAAAGTGGGGAACATACTGCATGCTTTAAGAAAAACAGGGCATAATGGGTTCCCTGTGATTGATGAGCCACCTTCCACAGATGCTCCAGAGTTGTGTGGGCTTGTTTTGAGGTCTCATCTGCTCGTGTTGCTTAAAGGGAAGAAATTCAGTAAGCAGAAAATGATGACAGGATCAGAAATAATGAGGAGATTCAAGGCACATGATTTTGCAAAGGCAGGTTCAGGTAAAGGGCCAAAACTGGAGGATTTGGACATCAAGGAGGAGGAGATGGAGATGTATGTGGATCTCCACCCTATTACAAATACGTCCCCATATACGGTTGTGGAGACAATGTCACTTGCAAAAGCTGCTGTTCTCTTCCGGGGACTTGGGCTCAGACACTTGTGTGTGGTACCAAAGAAAGCCGGGGTAAGTTGGGTTTCCACATCATCCATTAAACTTGTTATATGTCTATATCTATATATGTATATGTATAATATGGAGTAGTGATTCAAACTAAAACCATCATCTGCCCGTCCTGTTTTGCAGAGGCCTCCAATTGTTGGGATTTTGAC